ATGGTCACTCTGACTTTAAAAATGGCTATTTTGATGCATTTGTGGTATGTCTAATAGCAGTATTCATCTGGCAGTTAGAAATGTGAATTTAAGCTTGAGAGTGGAAATGTGTAAAGAGCATCAGGCTAACGATTCTTCATTTGAAGTGTTGACTGCATTAAGATGGAGGGAATTAAAATCCTGAATGTGGGTGAAATTTCTAAAGAAAGAGGAAAAGAGAAGATTGAGACTAGAATATTGAGAAGCACTTAAATTTGAGGGGCAGGAGGTTGAAGCATAAAACCGGGGAAACAGAGATAGAATACAAAAGAGGTGGGAAGAGGTCTGTACCGTTTTTATTATTGTACATGGTTTATGTTCCTCCTTGGAATTTAAACTCCTTGGAGACTTTCTCAAGATGTCAGTGTAACATCATGGAAAGAGCATAGCCTTAGAATTCAGATGGTCTCATTTTTAGCTTCTAGCTCTGTCATTTACGGTGTGACTTCTGACAAAGTTTGTTTTGTTTGGTTTTGGTGTTGGTTTTGGTTTTGAGTTTGGGGCCTCATTCTGTCGCCCAGGCTGAAGTACAGTGGCAAGATCATGCCTCACCGCAGTCTCACCTTCCTGGGCTCAGGTGACCCTTCATTCCAGCCTCCTGAGTAGCTGGGACTATAGGCATGCTGTACCACACCTGGATTTTTTTTTTTTCTTTTTTTGAGACAAAATCTCACTATGTTGCCTAGCTGGTCTCAAACTCCTGGCTTCAGCAGTCCTCTTGCCTCAACCTCCCAAAGTGCTGCAGATGAGGTTTTTATTTAAATCTCCATAAACCTCAGCCTTCTTATCTGTAAAATACCTATTATATTACAGTTCATTGAGAAGATCAAATGATAAGGGATGCAACTGATTTAAAGAACCTAGCAAAGATAGATTCTCTTCCTTCCTTTTTCACCTTGATTTCTATGCTAGTACCGGGAGCAGTACTATACAAATATTAGGTGCTCCAGAAATTGTTCAATGTATTAGTAGTTTACCATCACTAAATGGTAAAGCAACTTTAATTTCTAGACTGCTGATATTTTATTGGGCTTATTTCCTTAAAAGAATTTTTTTTTTCCATAAGGGCAGAGCTTATTCCAGATTTACTGAGTAAAGCATATATATATATATATATATGAATGCAGAGTTATCTAGTGGATAGTAGTGATTATCATACAAACTATTAAAGTTCAAATGAATTCAAATAAGAAATATACTAAGGGTGAAAACAATTAATTAGTGTAGACTTAATAAGAGTTTATAAAAGCCATTTCTTTTACTATTTTAAATATAAACTAGATTCTAAGGGGGCCAAGAAGATGCTTTCTGGTCCCAAAGCAAGCACATATAGTTTGTCAGTATGTGATGACATATACTACAAGCTTACAATTTTCATTCTCATTTTAACAAATTTAAACATATTTTCTTACTAGTAGATAAGATCATATTCCAGAGAATATAAGATTGGGAATCTGAAAATTAGACTATGATCTAAAGATTAGTTTTAAAACTTGTACTTCATTCTAAGAGTTATGGAACCCCAAAATACTAACAAATGGTGTTTTGAATAGTCTCAAAGATTCTGACAACATTGTAAATCCTCAGTCACTTGAAAAATTAAGTGTAATGAAGCAACTTTTAATTATCTTTATAGAGCTACCTTTTCTGTCTGACCTTGTCTTTTTTGAGTTTTTATTTATCATTGTTCAGTTTGTATATTATATGGCTACACTAATAGTATCTCTAAGTCTTTGACAATTTAAGGATAAACTCTGTTTTTTATTATAAAGATGTGGGGTACAATTCAGGGTTAGGTATACAAACGTTGATTGTGCAGGTTTCCTTGTTGATGAGGTATGCCTCTCCCTCCTCTAGCAGTTAGTAGTTGAGGGATAAACTCTTAGACGCAAGCATTAGGCCACTGTTACACTTTTAGAATATGAACAGAGCTGGTTGCCATATATAGTAGAGGTAGCATTCATTTATAATAAATAACATAATAAAGAAATATCCCCACATGGCAAAAAACCTTTAACAGTAGTGTTATTTATTTATTTATTTATTTGAGTCAGTCTCATTTTTTTTCAACCAGGCTGGAGTGCAGTGGCACACTCATGGTCACCGCAACCTCAACCTGCTGTGTTCAGGCAATCCTTCCACTTCAGCCTTCCACGTAGCTGGAACTGCAGGCATGCACCACCATGCCTGGCTAATTTTTTGTATGATTTATGTAGAGACGAGATCTCACCATGTTGCCCAGGCTGGTCTTGAATCCCTGAGCTCAGGCAATTCTCTCATCTCCACATCCCAAAGTACTGGGTTAAAGGTGTGAGTCACTGCACCCAGCTAGTAGTGCTATTTTAAATATATGACTTAAATAATAATAGCTACCATTTGTTTAACCTGTATTATGTGGCCAGTATTTTACATACCTTATACCTATTTTATAATTGAATAAACTGCATCTGAGAGAAGTTAAATAACTAGTCTCAAGTCACCCTGTTAATATATGATGGAGTTGCCTTTTAAATCAGGACTTTATTATTTTAATACTATATTCTTCAGGCTCTACAATAGTATCTTAAATGTTATATGCTTTCTTTGTTTTATTCCTTGTGTACTTCAAATTATTCTAATATCTGTTTTGTCCATCCTAGAAATGCAGTATTTCCTCTTCAACTCAACTAAAAAATATAAAATATAACCCTTAGAGTTAATTGTGAATAGTCAAAACTATTCATATATTATATTTGCGTGCCAATCATCCACTGCATTTTCAACAAAAGCTAGAGTGAACCATGGAGCTAAAAAATATAAAAACTAGCATAATAAAAAGATAGAGGGTGTTTTTAGTGAATGGAACAAAGATGTGGTACTGAAAAAAGACCATTGAATTTGGTTGATATGGAAGTAATTTCAGTAGAATATAATAAGAGGGATAGATTGCAAGAGATTAAGAAGTTAGAGGCTAATTAAGTAGATAATCTATGAACTATCAGGAGTAGAGTCCATTTGTGAAGATAATAATCATTTGATTCAAGCAGAGTCCAGGGAAATTTGAGCATATTTGTTTGCTAAATGAAAGAATCAGTGATATAGGAGTGCTTAAAATTGTAAAAGAGTGAGAGTTTCTATATAAGATTGAAGCCCTGGATCCTAAATCTCTGTGCATACTGGAATCACCTGGGGAACTTTTTTATGAGGGCAAATTTCCAGACAGTATTTTGCATCTAAAATGATTATATTCTGTGGAGGTTTGTCTCCTGAAATAGGTTGTTTAAAAAGTCATTCCAAATGATTATGATGCATCCAAAAAAGTAAGACAATTATGGTGCTGATGAGAACATCGGTGAAATGGCTGGCCATAGAATCTAGAAGAAGAGATTGAGACCCAATTAGGGTTAGAATGAGGCTGGTGGACCATGAGCAACGGTTAAGAAATTGGCTTTCATTATTATAAGAGTGGGCACAAGTTTAGTAGGAGTGAAAGACTGAAACAGCTAAAAAAAGTAGTGGGTTTTGATCAGAGAGAGAAGTTTCAGAATTTAGGATCTTGGAGCTAAGCAGGCACAAATGTGACTGTGTGTGTATCTGATATGGAAAAAAGGCAAAGAAGAACTGAGTCATGCATATCCTGAGGACTATCAGTTTGGTAACTAATACAACGCAGTGGTAAAAAGATATGGGATTTGGGATCAGGAGAAAACACTAAAGATTGAATTACTATGTAATTATCTAGACTTGAGATTCCACTAAACCTTGTCTTGGATGTCGTTAGAGACCATTTTCAGAGCAGGGTGCTTGATTTGGGCTTGTAACTTTCTCTAAGTTTCCATGGTTCACTCTAGCTTTTGTTGAAAATGCACTGGATGATTGCCACGCAAATATAATATATGAATAGTTTTGACTATTCACAATTAACTCTAGGGGTTCACGGCATGAGGAGTTAATAGTTTTTTTTCAAGGCATTAATTTGAATTTCCTGTCCTAAAACCCTACCAGGAACAAGATGCTTAGCTAGTGACTTTAGCTGTGGTGAAGTTAACATTTACGTCTCCGTTTGCCTTTAATGCTTGATTATATTATCAGAGTAGATCAGCCTAGAAGGTTTTACTGAAGAGGAAATTATATGCCACACTGTGGCTTGAAATGAGTTAAAAACTTGGTTTTTAAAAATCAAATGAGGCCAGGAGCATTGGTGCACAGCTGTAATCCCAGCGCTTTGGGAGGCCCAGGTGGGAGAATCGGTTGAGGTCAGGAATTTGAGACCATCCTGGGTAACATAGCAAAATCCTTGTCTCTACAAAAATAAAACATAAAAATAAAAATTAGCCAGGCATGGTGGCTCATACCTGTAGTCCCAGCTACTCAGGAGGCTGAGGTGGTAGGATTGCTTGAGCCCAGAAATACAAGACTGCAGTGAGCTATGATTGTGTTACTGCATACCAGCCTAGGCGACAGAGCAAGACCTTGTCTCAAAAAATAATAAAATAAAAATTGCTTAGCATTGCACCTGTCATGTAATGATTGCTTAATATACGGTACTTACTGGTTCCAATTCATGAATTCAACAAGTTTGAAACCATTTTTTTTTTTTTGTATTTCCAGGTTCCGTAAATATATTTTTATTTAAAATTGTGTTTTTATCCAGAATCTCTATGAATTATTAAACTGAAACTAGAATATTAAACTTGCTAGTGAATTAGGAGAATAATGGATCATTTATCACTTATTTTATGTTTGATAGACTTGAAAGGGGTTGTATTTTATAGTAACTCATCACTATTATGAAAAATTATAACTTTTAAAATGTCCTTTAAGTGTGTTTCTGTACCACAAATAGACACACAGAGAAACAAAATGAATGAATTAAATTATTCACTCTTAGATTAAGTGTATCTGAAAACCAACAATTCTGTTTTGCTAAACAACTTTTACTCAGTATATTATATACTTATGTGACTGTTATTGCTTTATAGCGAGGAACTCAGAAAAGAAGCAAGACAATTAAAGCGGGAACTCTTAGCAGCAAAACAAAAAAAAGTAGAAAATGCAGCAAAACAAGCAGAAAAAAGAAGTGAAGGTAAGGACATTTATTAGGCTTATATTTTCACTTGGTACCCGTCTCCTTACTCATTCCTCCTCTCTCCTCCTCTTTTCTCCCATTCCTTCTCCTTTCCTTCTCCTTCTGTCTTCTCTCCTTCCTTCTTCCCTCCTTCTTGAGTCGAGGGGATTTGGGGATATTATGGTTTTTTGGGTTTTTTACTACTTTCTTTGGACAATTAGCCAGTACATCAAATTCCCACATAATACATTTGCCTGAGATGTCAATTCAGTGCAAACAGGTTTATAACTATTGTTCTCAAGCAAGCTTATTGAAAACTAACAGAATACTTGAAATTACGTAAAACTTAAAGGCTAACATAGCATCTAACTGGGATAAAAATGTACATGAATGGAATGTTCATTTTTAAAATATTGCATGTTCTTTAAAACATTTAAGAAAAGTCTTGGGCCCTATGTTTTAGACTTGTGTAAACTTGAGTATGTTGATTTGTATAGTATTAAATATCTACTCTTGTTTTTCTTTTGTTTTGTTTTTTTTAACACTTAAGACAGAATAATAAAGCTGATCAAAATAACACCCTGCTGTTTATACAGGCTAAATATGTTCTTTGTTTCACTATGATTTTCATTAAGCTAGAAGCTTCACAAAGTTTTTTCACTGAAGATCTTTAATTTTATTTAAAACTATTTCAGCTATAAAACACGAATGTTCAGTTTCTCAAATAACTGCTTGGAACCCTCAATTTTGTTTGCTTTTTACAATAATAATACATTGTAGATTCAGTGAACATGATCAGAAAATTTTATTCAATTGCCTCTTATAATGTATACCAAATATGATATAACAAATTATCTTTATACATATGTATACTGTATTGTGCTTTTGGAAAATTTGAAGTGTTTTTATCTACGAGGTTCTGTACTTGGTCACTAAAGATATCTCAAAGAATAAGATGCAGCATCTAGCCTTAACATGTATTCTAATATAGAACAGTAGTGCCATATTTGACTATAAGTATTATTGTTTAAATAGCACAATACCTCATAACTATTTAAAGGGCATAGTTCTCAAATTATTTGCACCAACTCTCCAATGACTATGTGGTAAAGGCAAGTACGTACTTCATGAAGAATTGAAAGTCATTGAAATATATATTTGAGTGAAACTAATTATTAAAAAATTAACTCAGCCAGGCTCGGTGGCTCAGCCTGTAATCCCGCGCCTTTGAGAGGCTGAGGTGAGTGGATTGCCTGAGCCCGCAGGTTCGAGACTCGCCTGGGCAGCGAGACCTCATCTCTACATAAATCAAAAAATCATC